CTGCCTCGGACTGTATCGAAAGGTCGAGAGAGAGAGAGAGAGGCTGTTAGTGATTGCGTCACGGCATGTCTGACGACTGTACCTCCGACCAGAGTTGACTGCCGCCAGGTCGTCCACTTGGAGCTGGACAAGAGCAGCAAGGACCATGTGGCCAGATCCACCCTCCGACAAAAGGAGGCCGGACCGAAGGCGTTTGGGCAAAAAGAGTCGTCCGACTCGCTTCAAAGACTCGATCAGATGGTCATAATTGCACGCCTATTGTCCTCATGCATCGTGGCCTCACCTCGTCTCTCCAAATTGGTCACGTCTTTGAGCCGAATTTGAAGAAAACCTTCTCCTACCATCGTTTTGTGCATCAGAGAATCGTTTCCAAGAGTTCTGTTGTCATTCAAAGATTGTCGCATGACTGCTATTTTGACGGAAAAGCTGATTGGAAGGAATTCGGGAAATGGTCTCACCGCAAACCGACTGAAGATTACCAAGTAGCGAAAACGGTTGTGTTGTGCAAAAAAGATATCAGCTCAGCGGCCTGCGAACCCGATGAAACTGTGCTAAGCTTTCGTCTGTACCATCGTGACGGACGAATGCCTGCTTTAAGAAATGACTCAAAAATATGCTAAATTAAGAGAAAAAGTGACCGGCTGCAAGCCTAGTCATTTAGTAGATACCAAATTTTGTGGTCTTGATGAGGCATTTCAAGATTTTTTCTATTTAAGTAGAGTTTCGAGACAATATGTAAATCAGTAGTATGAGATGTATTCACCATATTTCTGAGGTGAGGAAGGACTGGTAGTCGGATTTTTTCACAATGAGATGAGCCCTCATAAAAGCTGTTCTCATCCAGGTTGGACTGTAATTTCGACCTGGCATAATTCTTATCAACATCCTGAGCGGGATTCGAACCGTGACTCTCCGGTTGAGGTGATTCTATAATGTTTCAACACATGTTTTGGGTTTTTTGGACATTCAGAAGTCTATTTTTTAATATTACATGGTTTTTCAATGATTGGTCACATATGTTCAGAACTAAGGAAACGGGAATCGTCAGTAGGTTATTTGGGTATGGTATTAGCGATGTTTTCAATTGTTGTGTTAGGGTTTATTGTTCGAGCTCATCACATGTTTACGGTTGGTATGGATGTAAAGAGGATATCATTTTTTAATGCCGTTCCTGTTGGTCTGGAGGATCCCATAGTTTGATGATTTATTTCATTTATTTTATTGTTTACAACTGGAATAGTGACAATCCCACCAAAGAATGTGATCTGGCAAAAGACTTGGCCTTCCTTAAAATTCACATCTCGTGGCAATGTGGCCGAGTAGTTGACGTGTCACGGTTCGACTCCCCCTGAGAGTGTTGATAAGACGGGTTGATGCGATTTCAAAACTGTAGTCCACTCCCGCCGGGAGGACAACAACTTACAGGAAATCAAGGCTCTGTGAAATGCAATGGAAACGTCAGTTTTGTGCATATGATTGTGGGAAAATTAAACTTAATCACCTTAAACGAAATTGGGTGAAAACATCTCGCATATCTCATGATTGGTTTTGCGACCCCATGAGTAAAGTTACTTGAAGCCCCGGAAGTACACTGAATGGCAGCTGTTTCTTTACACAAATAAACATAATGGCTTACTATCCTTTAATGTTCATTGTGGTTTGCAATTGTGCTACTGTTTCTTGTCAGCATGCAGTGTTCATGTCATGGAAAGTGTGATAGTCCAAGCTAGACTCGAGGCCCTTTCTGAACTCGCTCCCTCTTCTTCTCCGCAAAACTGTACAACAACACAAATAATTCCTTCTCATTTTGGTATACTCGTTACTCCTGTTCAAGATGTTGGCCATTTTGTCCCTAATCTTACGCTTTGATGTCAAGTCTCCATAACCCGCGAAGCTCTGTATTTTAGATCAGTCTATTGAATGTTCTGTTGCGAGCTCATATTTACCGACACATACGCCTTTATCAACGGTTTTGTCTTCTCATTCTCTCTTCTGGATGGGTCAGCAGGCCTCCCTCACATCAGCCTTTCCGCATGAGCACAAGACCTCTGGAGAGAGGCTGAGAAGATTCTCTAGGACTATCACACTTCCCATGACATGAACATTGCATACACACAAGAGACAAAAGCACAATCCCCAAAATTGCAGAATCGTATGTCAGTTTGTTTATTCGTGCAGGAAACAGCTGCCGTCGAGCGCACTTTTGGTTCGGCAAGTTACTTTAATCATCTGGAAACATGTGGAATACGTCTGAGATCGTCAAGCAAATCATGACATGCCTTATTGAAGTCGCGATGTTCGGTGTATAAAAAGCGAATGGGGTTGTAGCTGGTCACCTCTTCTCTTGGTTTAGTATATTTTTGAGCATGCCTTCTTGGTCTGTTGCTGTCAGTCACGGTGGTACAGACCAAAGCTTAGAACAATTTCATCTGGATCACAGGATTGTGAGTCGGGCACATTTGTACACAATACAACTATCATCTCTACGCAACAAGCTTCCTCCGGTTTGTGGTGGGACCATTTAACGAATTCCTCCCAACCAACTTTTTCTTCAAAAGGGAAAGTCATGTTGTCATAATTGTTGACTGAAGTTTGAATTGTTCTTTTCCGAGAACCATCTTTTGGGCTTGCGTCTGTCCTACAACTTGACAGGCACCCTCACAACTAAGGCTCGTTCTTATTTAAATTCTTATAAAAAAATGTAAAATGTA